ACCGTTCGCGATGATTCCTTGTGAGTGAGAACCACTATCATACATATGTACGCAGCTATTCGCAGATTGCCGTTTTACAGGCGGAACTTTAAACGTTAATAACTTTTTAACGAAGCCTCGATCAACAAATTGGTATTCTTGATTTTTGTCTTATTTTGGCCTCTAGAATCTCCCATTAAAATTTTTCCCATGGGTGACCGAACATCCTGTATACTGGTAATTTGCTTGCAGCTTAGGTCAAATTCAAATTTGACTGTTTTGCAAATCAAATGTTTATGAAATTAAATTTAATCCAAAAGATAAACGTTTTAACCATTATTCGAGTCATCTTTAGCTTGACAACAAAAATTATAATAGAGTGAAACTTTGATTAACCTGCTTCGTCAGGATCGAGACCTGTCAAATAATCGAGGTCTAGAGGAAAGAACGTAAAATACGGCTTACGTACAAAATAGATCTTATTTGGTAAGGAATACAAGTTTATATAGATTTTATATGTACGTATGTAAATATTTGGATTGAAGTTTGGATTCTTTTAGAAACTTGGTAAAATTGTATATTTTTTTTTTATGAAATTTGTCTTTTAATATTGGATCGATTTTAACACTTTGACTGCCACACCATCCATATATAGGTGACAGGATTTACCATTATGGAACTAGAAAAATTAATTCCCAAGTTGAGATGTTGGGGGAAATAAATTTGTATAGGTTTTATAAATTTTAGCAAGGTTGCAAAAATAAGTACCGAAACAAATTTTAGGTTATGTACTGTGCGTTTACGAGAAGTTTGGTCGTCGAAAGGAATGCGGGTCTGATTGGTGCTTAGATCCTCACTCTAGTACTCCCTTGTCCCTTGTGCCGTCCCGATAGCCAACTTCACGCGGACGCACAGTAGTTTACTTAAAATTTTAGTCTTGCAGAATATTATACGGTTTTGATCTGGCAGTGAACATGTTAAAAAGATTGAGGTCGGTTCTGTATTTCGGGCAGTGCGAGAAGTAGGTGGTCTATAATAATTGTTACGTTACATTATTTGGATAGAATGTGTGAGTAAGTGGTTTTTGCGTGTTCAATTGTTATTCTAGAGAAATCTTATCTTGGAAAGTACAGACAGAGAGGACTTTAATGTGTGAGGGAGCATAGTTGTTCCATTGCATGTTCTATATTATTATTAATGTTTGTTGTAACAACAACGGGTGAATTTACAGGTGATATTTTAAATTTTTTACTTTGTATCAAAACCAAAATTTTAGTTTCCGAGATATTGAGGAAAATATATTAGTACAAAGCATGCATGATTGTTTATTCTTTGATTAGTTGTAAAAGTGATTCTGTTTTTCGAAACACTCGAAAACCCCATATTTCTTTTAAAGGGCAGCCATGTTGGTATTTGCGTTTGCACAATTTATCCTCATCTATTTCAACGATTTCATCGAGTCCTTCTAATCGTGCTGAATTAGTTTCAAGATGACAAAATTAATTAAGCTTTGTGTATTATTATTAAGGCTGTTGGGCTTTAATTACCAAGAAATTCTAATACTATTTTATATTGTATATTATTTTCAGTAATATATTTCATTAGTAAAGAATTCATCAGCGTATGTATAGCCAAACTGCGATATGTTCTACTTACATATATTTTTTCCTTAAAATCTCAAAAATTAATACAGACCTGGTTCTGATGCAAAGGAAGAAGTATGACATTTTTTTTAACATTTTTAACTGTTTCTGATTTTCTGACTTACCAATCACAAGTGAAGGAAACTTGTGATTTCCTCAAGCATCAGCAGATGCTAAGATAATTATACATTCTTACATTTATAGCCTGAATCTTGTTTCTCTAATTTTTATATCAATATTTTCGATGGTTACAGTTTACAACACTGTTTAATTTATATTGTATACCATGAAAGTGGTCAGCAGACGATCTTTCTGCTTGTATGGATAATGGATAAGTAGTATATTTTTCATCAGTATTGTTCAATGTGTTGTAAAATTGTAAGGTTTTTGTCTACAAAATTGGGCCATAAACAGGCACATCTTTCATATGAAGACCACTAAGTGTGCGATTTCAATGTATTCATTAGCATTTCTCGTTTCGGAATTAATTCACGACCGATTACTTCAATCGAACGTTTCTTTATTTCTGTTTCATTATTTCTTCCAATCGTCAGTAGTTGATTTCCTTAAGTCCGAATCAAAGACAATTGACCTTAATGATTCTATTCTTCGCGGATCTTCAATTCTTCTTTCTAATGAAACTACTCTTTTCCTTTCGTGATTTATTTATTTACAATAAACGTTATACAGGGTGTTCGGCCAGCCTTGGGAAAAATTTTAATGGGAGATTTTAGAGGCCAAAATAAGACGAATATCAAAAATAAAAATTTGTTGATCGAGGCTTCGTTAAAAAGTTATTAACGTTTAAAATTCTGCCTGTAAAACGGTAATCGGAGAACAGCTGCGTACGCGTGATAGCGGTTCTCATTCAGCATGAGAGACTCTACTCACTGACGTATCGACAGCCTTACAGTTTTCTGAGTGGGAGCCACTATCGAGCGTACGCAGCTGTTCTCAAGTTGCCGTTGTACAGGCGGAACTTTAAACTTTAATAACTTTTTAACGAAGCCTCGATCAACAAATTGCTATTCTTCATTTTCATCTTATTTTGGCCTCTAGAATCTTCTATTAAAATTTTTCCCAGGGGTAGCCGAACAGCCTGTATATCACAGATGAACTGAAGCTTACATGTGTCATTTGTCGTTGTCACGATGATTTGCTATGACATCTTTGTTTAATACATGTACGATACCTAAACTGAATAATAGAATAAAAATTGTTTGATGAATTAAGTGGTTCACAATCCTTTTTTCCTTGAACCACTCGGGAGAAACGGTGTTTATGGACACCTTATCGGAATAACGTTCTTAAAAATGAATTAAATCGTGGTTTCTTAACTAGTGTTGACAATCCTGTCTTTCTCAGTTACGATACACCAAATAGGATTGATCCTTTGCAGATGGTGTTTGTATATACTGAACAATATAATTTGATCATTTTATACATATCTACCACTATCTAGTAACATTTAAAGTAACACAAAAATCTCATTCCCAAGGTGTTTTCCAAATACAGTGATATTTAACACGACGCGAGTCCATGAAACATGCTGTATTGACAATCAACGTAATATTGTATATGTTGAATTTTTAGAAAGCACAAACTCTAGTTTGAATGTTGTTCATTAAGGGCAATACTGACTTTCGTAAATCAAAGATTTTAACTGAAACAAAAAATTTAATGGTATTTTTCTGGATTCTGGTATATCAATATGTATGTATTGGCAACTTTTTGGTTTTTCTATTCGATTTTAATTATCTTAAAGATGTTTTTAATTATATTTTTACAAAGCAAACTTGTTAGGCATTTTAGGTAGCTATTCGTGTATTTTTATATAAACGTCATGGGTCAATATCAGTTTGAATTTTTGTTCATTTCAAATAAAATGATTTGTCTTTAAAGTAGTTAAGAAGTCTAGAGTACTTTTAAAATCGAAATAATTTTCATTTTAAAATGTTAAAGTAACTGTTCACAATAGAAATTAAAGTTGGATCATCTCACGAAACAATATATGCTAAAATTATTATTATTTCAATTATAATTAACGTTTAATTATACTGTACGTTATACTGTGTGGCACAAATAATGTGTTTTAAGTTATTTTCACAGAAATCGATAATCTTCTCATGTGTAATATATTCTTTTATTGTTTTCTGTAGGAAGTCATATTTAATTAGTATTTTCATCGTGAGTTTAATTTTAATATTATATGTTTTTTATTACGTACGTCATTTCTTTTACGACTAGTGAAATCTTATATTATACGATGCCAATATCTAAAACCTCTCGACTCTTGTATAAAACATTTATTTATAATTTTAAAGATAGAAGAATTATAGAATTATCTTATTTGATACAGAAAAATATGGATAACGATCTACTTGTATTAATGAATTGAACATCAAAGTTTAATAGCTGTAAAAGTATGTTTTTCTTCTATTATTTTAACTTTTTGAAAGACGAATTATTTTATTTGAAATAATCAAAAATTCAAAGTGATATTGACCCACAATATTTATTAATTTTGACGATATTGTCACGTTATATCGTTAAAAAATGTAATTTTAAATATTGATTTACTAATCTAGTCGTTTCCTTCATGGTATAGTATTTAAAATAATTTGAAAACTAAACGTGCACGTGTGTGCTAATACTCTTAAAACCTATTCTATTTCATTTAGTAAATGCCTAGTACTTTGGTCCTCTTCAGTGAAGTTATATACGGGGTGTAACAGGTATACATTTCATCCTCTACAGGGGTGGTATAGGAGTTCAAACAGAACAAAAAATATACACCAAGTTTCATCTGCTGTCATTGGCATAATACACAAGAAGAAATAAAAACTAATAGGTAGTGTTGTATAATTCCTATAAAAAAAGTTAAATAAACATTTCCTTTGTCTTTTCTAATATAGAAGAATTTAAATGAGATCTTAAAACCATAAATTTTGCAATTAATATACAAATATTCGTATTTGAAAGTACTGTGACGTATGCATCTCTATTAATTATTTTTATTCATGGTTGCTTCTTCTGAGGAAGACCTACATCGAAAGCCAATACGTGATATAAACTGATAAAGATAAGTGTGTGACTTGCTCTGTTGGTCTTGTGTAGTTATTTTTATTGGTTGTAGTTGGTAGCGTTGGAACGGAGATATGAGGGGGGATCCCGTGTAGAGTGCCCGGTAGTGTGTAATGGCGTTGTGAGGGAACACGTGTAGAAATATCTATGTACGTTCATTGTTAAAATAGAAATAAATGTGTTGAAATAATAATGAGTTGTTTAGAATTGTTTAGAATGAACCAAACACAAGCCCAACAGGTCTAACCCTTTAAATTGTATTTAATTCAAATTCTATTGCAAACCAGTACTTACATATTCGGTGAGATTGTCTTAGCTGGAACGTGTCGCATCCATGCACATAATGATACAGAGTTTTCTCGATCAGATCCTGTGGATTGTACCCTGTCAATTGGGCCACCCTGCAACAAAGCGGAGAAAATACACGTCGTTACAGTATTTTTTAATAAAGGGATAAACATTCACAAATATTTACATTTATTTACTTTTACACGGTTTTATGAGAACCGCGAAAACCTGATCAAAACTTCAAAATGGATAGTCGTTACAACTGTTTTTGTTATTTACTTGACTAACAAACATCAGAAATTATATGAAGATAAGTTTGTCACTGATTGTTACAACTTATTTTAAAGTTGTCTGTTGCTGGAGCGACGGTACTCCCAAAGTGAAGTTCTTAACATTCATAGTGATTATCAAAAGTGTACTTTTGATAGTACACTAGTATTTTAGTGATAACTACAATTTTAAATTATGTTTGAATGTGTATAGAGTTGATTGCTGCGTAAGTTATGTCTGCTAGAACACATCCATTACAAATTTGATTTTAGAAATCAATTTATAGTTAATGTTTTTGTTGCAACGATGTAAGTGCAATGTACACTTGTACTTGCTTTCTTAAATTGAAACACTACAGACATTGAATGTCTCCATAAAAAAGAAATCTAGTGACCAGAGATTAAATTATTTTGACGACCGTTCCATTAGTTTTACCAATTGGTCGTATCAATCCATTATCTTGAAAACATATTATCTAATCATTAGCGAATTGTAAATATTATATACAGGGTGTTCGGCTACCCTTGGGAAATATGTCAATGGGAGATTATAGAGGCAAAAATAAGTCGAAAATCAAGAATATCAATTTGTTGATTGAGGCTTCGTTAAAAAGTTATTAAAAAATTGAATTACAAAATTTCAAATCATTCAAGGAAAAATTATTTTCTGTTGCAGGGGTCAATTATAATCATTTTTGGTGAATAGACATACACCCCAAATCCTACACACTTTCGAGAAAAAAATTCGGGTAGGTGCTGAAATTTTTCGGCGAAAAAAAAATTTTTCAAATCGTTTAAAAAAAATTATTTTCGATTGCAGGGATCGATTACAATCATTTTTGGTCATTATATATAACCACAAAATCCTACCCATTTTCGAGAAAAAAATTCCTTAGCGAAAATCTAATGTGAGGCCAAAAATGTCACTCGAAAATTTCTTGCGTATCTTTAAAACGTCATAACTTCTGAACGGATGGAAGGATTTTAATGTTTCAAAATGCAAGTAACGCGTATTTTAGTGAAGAATATGTAGAAAAGTTGTTCCTTGACCCCGTAAAGTGAGAAAAACTCCATAAAAATGGTTCAATTTTCAAACAGCCATAACTCATACAATAGTGAATATATTTCAATGAAACTTTTTTCTGAAGTAAAGCTCATGAGTACATACAAAAAAGTATTAGACAACTTTTCTGTCGGGCGTCAAACAAGATTACTAAAAATAAAAAACGAATTTTTAAGAAAAATGGACAGTGCCTAAATTTTTTCGGCGAAAATGAAAAGTTTCAAATCATTCTGGAAAAATTATTTTCGGTTGCGTGGGTCAATTACAATTATTTTTGGTGATTAGACATACCCCCCGAAATCTTATGCACTTTCAAGAAAAAAATTCGAGAAGGTGTGACATTTTTCGACAAAATTAAAAAATTTGAAATCGTTCTGGAAAAATTATTTTCGGTTACGGGGGTCAATTACAATCATTTTTGGTGAATACACACACCCCTGAATTCCTACGTACTACCGAGAAAAAAATTCTTTACCGAAAATATACTGTGTGACCGGAAATGTTTCTATAACTTTTTAACAAAGCCTCAATCAACAAATTAGTGCCCATGATTTTCGTCTTATTTTGGCCCCTAGAATCTCCCATTAAAATTTTTTCCCAGGGGTGGCCAAACACTCTGTACAGTGTGGAGGTGTTCCATCTGGCTGGAAATATAGCAGATTTTCAAGAATTTAAATAATCAGAAGATAAGTATTTCTTCTAGCATTTTCAAATACATATTACCGGTCAAATTACTACCAATAAATACTGTTCTCATAATACTATCGATTTTATTAAATATCTCTTTAATATAAAGTGTGTTTAAGAAATATCATGTATAAAGATTTGTTCTTTTTTCCCGTGGATTAAGAATCTGTAAAGAAATACAGGTAACCCTCTTATGACACGGTAGATAGGTCCCCAGAAAATACCGTGTTGTGTGAAACCGTGTTATATGAGACCCAGAGCCAGTAGAAAAAGGGGGGTTACGTTTCAAAAATTGATTAAAAACAAATATTTTTTTTTAATTCTACATATGCAACTTAATTTTCATAAAAAATATAAATGTATGTATAACACAAAATTAAAAAAAAAAACAAAAAATATTATCTAATTTAACGCAACTTTATTTTAATAAATTATAATTTGTTTATATTTTTTCATGTAAAGCCACTATAATTCATTATTCCTTCGCGTCATTATTTTAAGATAATATAGTTTTTAAATATGTTAAGCAAAAATTATGTTATCCAGTGCTGCTATGCAGTCCTGCTATGAATCGTGTTATAGGATGCTGTGTTGTAGATGGGCTACCTGTATAAAAGTTTCTATTTACAAAAGACAAAGTTGACTTTTAGACAACCTTGGAAACACTCAACATATAAAAGATACCTATAGTGGTATTTACCCTCTGAAACCGAAAAACTTTTGTATCGATTGTTTTCGAAATATTTCTCGACTGTAACTATTCAAACCTGTATAAAATTTCATGGTTGTTCGTCGAACGGTGAGTTTTGGTCAGGTTTCCTCGATTTTCACCTACTGTGCGTCGTTTACATAACCATCGTCGGCGGAATCGATTTTCCAGGCGCGTATAAAATTTCATCCCTGGCTACCTCCGGTATTTATACACCGCCACGTGTTCGTTTCCCAGTGTGTACATGCCTACGATCCTGCCATGATACAGTCCTGTCCACGGTGGATATTTATTTCAAGCGAATAAAAAAAAAAAAAGAGAGGAAAGAAAAAGTAAAGAATAAAGCGAACCGTCCACGTTCGTGGTAACACGAAACTGATTTTAATGGCCGGCGACCCAGGACCCTTTCACCCCTGGCGTCGAAATATCGACGGCGCAACTTAACACCGAGCCGTAATTACAACGGCAGAAATAATCTAGCCTGTTTCGATCGACGTCGACTTTCTCCCATTTTCTGTTCCTCTTTAGGCGTCGAGCAACTAAACATGACTCGTCAAAAATCTCTACCGGTTTCGTCGTTAGCCGTTCGCGATACATGACGTTCGTTCCTTACCTGGTGTCGACGAATATCAGTTTCAGGTCCAACGATGCACGGAACATGAACATGTTCTGGTGTAATTTCACTTCAGTTATGGATCGTGTCGGCAGAGAATGGCCCACTGCTAGCAATCCAACGTTTCTGATGCATCTACCGGTACCGTCCTCGTACTCTGGCCCAACTAGACCTTCTATGATGCATTTTAGGTAGCCGGAACAGTGGATGACCTGCAACATACAAAGTCAATATTTTAATCATGGTGATCCAATTTTATATCAACGTTCATTTTGAGTTTTTGGTCATCTAGAAGTTTGTATTTGTATTTTACCAGGATTTGGACTAATTTTGTTATCTTCAATGAGAGAGGAAGAAAGCATTTGGAAATATTGGTGTAATTTATGCAATATTAAAAATTGGATTGTTAGGTTTTATCGTATAGGGTTCAGGATTGTCGATTGATAAAATAATTTTCGTATATTTTGGAAAGACATTATATTATATTATATGGACTACTTTTATTATGTTCAATGAAAGTGGGGAAAAATATTTCGGGGTATTGGTGGGATAACAATTACGGTGTGTTAACAATAATTTTTGCTGATATTCATGATAAAATATCATTTGCTCGTTATCTTCGAGAAATCGGAGTTAATTAGTGGCTGAGGAACAGTTAAAAGGTGACGAGCACGTTTTAGGGATACAAACGGAGCGTCGTAATTAAGCTTGGAACACTTGACTTATCGTTAGAGTTACACATGTGCACGCGATTATTCTTAACGTTATTCAGAAATCCTGATAGAGCATAAGTGCGACACTCGAGGTCGGTTCCCCGGGCGGCGACTGAAGTGCGGATTCTCACGGTGGAACAGATGCACTCCTGGCAAATTAACAATTCCTGCTTAATTAAATGGCCGATGAAACGAAAAAAAGCCTCGTTCACCCGTCATTCGCGCTCTCGCGTTTCCTCGCTGCGTCTCGAGTGTGCCGGCGGAATTTGTGAAGCAAATAGGCTTGTTCGTATGCCCGCGTTGCATATCTGTTCTCTCTCATATGCAATTCCTGTGCAACGCGCGAGTACGGGAACACGAGGGTGCCGCGATATCCGTCGAATGAAAATAATTTGCTACGAGGGCGCGCGACTACGCTCAATTTCACTCTGGAGACACTCCGCGTGCACCGGGCTTTCCTGATGATGGACTATCTAATTCGCGAGGGACCCTCGTTCGAGGTGTTACGAACCGATTTTAATTATATTCACCATACAAGCTTTTTTTTTTAAGAATCATTATTATAATATAAAATTCCACGGTACTTAAACAAATACTAAATAAATCATAATACTAAATATAAAAAATATTACTAAATATTAAAGATAATATTGGTATCAGTATTACTATATCGATTTTAATCATATTTACCATATGAGCTTTTTTTTTAGAATTATTATTATAATATAGAATTTCATGGTACTAAAAAAATACTAAATATAAATAATATTACTCAATATTAAAGATAATATTGATATTAGTATCATAATAATGTTATTATTTCATGATATTAATACTAATAATGATATTAATATTATTTCTAATATTCAGTAACATTTTTTAATTTAGTATTTTTTGTATGTAGTATCATGAAATTTTATAAAAAAACGGTTAATCCCTTCTCGTTCAATCTTCCTTTATTTACGTGTTTTTACAGGATATCGCTACTAAATCGGTCTCTGAAACCTATATTTTCTAAAAGAGTCTTTTGTTTCAAAAATATGATTTGCTCAACTCTATATAAGAATTGAATAGAGTACTTGTATTTTTATCATATAAATGGTCTTTATTCTGAATTTTCAAAAATAGTAACGAAGGATTAATAATCCCCTATTTAATAAAACTTTGATTTTTCGTTAAAATATTATTCAATGTTCTTAGTAGATTGACATTATGAAATTATCCTCCCATTAAAAAGAATTGCAATCGACGAAATAAGGGATAATCGAATAATATATGGAGTATAAAGTAGATGTGACATTCTTCCTTTAATACATAGATTAGCCTTGTCTGCTAGTCTGAAACATTGTGTTAAAAATAAAAAAACCAATATTACATTATACTTCTTATGTCGAACAATTCAAGCAATCGAAAAAACGATTACTTTCTGTTTACATTCCATCATTTTCGGTTATGTTAATCCCGTTTTGTCCAACCGACAAGCTCTGCCAATACACGTAAATCCGTGAAAACGCGTGCTCGCACTTCCACAAAGTTAAGCCAACTACGATTCGGTCTTTGTGCGCCTAAGTGCTATACAAAAACCTGCTTTGGCCCCTGTGCACCCCCTGTGTCCCCTCGGGGCACGCCTAACAGCTCGCTGGGGTTGCATTCATGACTTTGCTCGACGCCTATTGGGGTCTTCTGTGTGCGATTTCGTCGAGAGCTACGGTCATCATAGCACTGCGGGCTTGAACGAGCTATTTGCCAAACATTTTCCTTCTCGAGGGCTGTCTCCTTTGGTTAGCAAGTGCAAAGTGTCGCAGGTCCCTTCCTTCTTGTCCCTCCCTCCAACCCGATACGTTTCCACCCCTTCCAGTGTTAAGTAGAACGATCGGGACGTCGTTATTGCCACGACATATGTCGAACATTTGGTGAAACGAGGCAATCCACAAACACGAGGGTTTCCTGATTTCGGTGAATTGTCGGTGATGTTAACGATCGTAAATTCAGATTACCGAGTGTTGGCGAATTCTGGATCCGGCGATGGATTTAATCGGATCGATGAAAGTAATTTGGGTCAGCCATGAATAATAATGCGCCTCGTGATCCTGAGATAATAGAGTTGGACAATAAATGATAAATTCTTGGTTTTGTTTAATTCTTTCTACCGCTTGGTTGAACAATTTACCCCACTTTGCATCACCTTTTCATAGAAGATATATTTACTAATCAATATTAGTTTTTATAAATCATTTTTTTATTTTTATTTTATTTTATTTCTTTATTTTGTATTGTCACCTTTTCATAGAAGATATAATTACTAACCAATATTAATTTTTATAAATCATTTTTTTATTTTTCTTTTATTTTTCTTTTATTTCTTTATTTTGTATTGTCTGAAACTGCGGAATGCATATAATATAAAAGAATATGTTTACACTTTTTTAAGGAACTTTTATTGAAAGGTATTAAACAAAATTAGATTTTCCGCTCTTTGCCTTTTATTTATACAGAGGCGCATTTTGTGTATAAATGGAAAGTGAAACAAAATTAGCCCCGCCTTTAACGTGTTAAACTTTAGTGTCGCAAGACTTAAGGGTTTCCTATTGTTGGGCGATAAAACGTGTCGTTTTCAGAAACGTATGTTTTAGAAACAAATTAGTAATTAATTTTAAGTAATTTCTTAGTACTTAAATAATAAATGCATATGTATAATTATAATTTTACGGGACAAGAAGATATTAATGCAGGGTTTTGGATGATAGCCTTTATAAAAAAGATTTCGTACTTTCCTTAAAAAAGCTTATGTAAAGATTTTTATCGTTTAAAATAATTTTTTTAATTCTTTGAATTTCACTATAAAATGTTAGGGAATTTTTATTTGTTTAATATTTCTGTAAGGTTCCTCTTCAATTTTACATATATTTGTAAAAAGATATATATTGTTAATTTGAAAAGGACCATAAGCGACGGTTGTTACGCCGTTTGTTTTTATGAATGTTTATTGAGCAAAAATTGAAAAAATTTATCCATAAAATTATACTTTGAAGTCTTTGAACTAGTATGAAATTTAGCTCTATTGAAATTTTCATTATTAGGCATGTTATATCCCGTTATCGTCAGCAGTATACACGGTTGGATATTACATTATGAAACTTTAAACGAATTTATCTTGAAACATTGTTTTTTTCTTTTAATGGTGTATACGATAACTATAGGCAAAAGCTAAATGATACAATAAACTTCTATAAATGAACGCTATTTAGTAAACTTTTAACTTTCGAATTATTTCATGTTTGTTTAAATTTAAATTTGTACATTAATACTTTAATTCTGTTATACAAATTCAATTTGAACAGTTATTCTACATTCGATTGATAAAAGTTCTGGAAGGACATATATTTCTTAAGAAATATTTTAATGAAAAATATAAAAATTTCAATTATGTTCTCAAGTATCATTATTTAAGAGATTAAAAACAGAATACATATAGAGGAATAAGTATATTTATACTTAAGTTGACTCTTCTTGTATTATATATTTCAATTTTTTTAAAAATTGCTTGTAATTCAGAATTATTTTCATTGTCTCTTTTAGACGAATCACAAAACATCAATTTCATCTAGATTTGTTCTGAAATTGCCTGTTGTAGTATTATTATAATGAAAATATTTTGAAAGAACTTTTAACATTTTTAAAGCAGAATAACTGTTTCTGTTTAATTAGAATTTCTTTTTATTTCCGAAAAACTGAAATTTGTTGTTTATGCCAAAATGAGTGTAATAGAAGTTTCAAGGAATACATCTCATCTTATATCTACTTTCTTAGAATAGACAAGTTAGTAGTCATACAATTATTGACTATAGACTATTTTTTTATAGACTATAGACTAACTATAGACTATTTTTAAAGATATTGATTCTTCTATTTGGAATATCATTCGTTAGTTACTATAAGAACAGATAATTAATTTGTCTTCTTTGTCTTTTATAACCTTTTCATGTTGTAGAACATATAATAGTGAAAATTTTTATTTTTAACGTACAACATTTAGAAATGCTTAAGAAATGTTCTTTTAGGTGCTTGTCACGAATAAACAATATCATTTAGCAATCCATACGTTGGGTACATCCTAAAAGGATACCATGTTTTACGATTTCGCAGACTCTTATAAATTAACCCTTTGCTTTATTTCCAAGCAAACGTACTCTTTCGCCTATTTAATTTTATCTCTACACTATGTGCATAATTGAAAATAATGCTAATATATATTTATGTAGAATCAAATAAAATCTATTTTATTTATAATAGAATAAATTCATAAATAAACGAGAAAAATGAGAAAAAGCTCAACCAAATTACAATTAAAATTAAAAACAGATACATTTTTGTAGATATAATGAAAACGATTATCAACGTAAATAATAAAATAATTCAATTTCGAACGAGTAGCATAAATACTCCGTAATCTTTTTTACTACAAACCGAGAGAAACCATTATCAAATATGATATGTAG